ACTTATATCTCGGTTCAAGTTCTTACACCTTATTATCAACATGAATCTCAAGAGAAAATAGTGACGATATCAGTATTAGAGAAAAAAATATTAGTAATAGAAAGAAGAAGTTTTAGATCTAACAGAGGGTGAAGAATGATTGTATATGTCATTGGAAACAATTCTAAACGATGTTATCCGAAATCTCCAACTATTGGTTATGGTAATTATGTGGATCTTAATAAGGTAGCCTGTATTTGTTCATTGAACTAGAATGAAATCGATCTAATAATGAATATATATTTCTTTGTGGAACAATTGTATTTCTGACGTTTCGTGACTTGATGTAAACTACTTCTTCAGAGTGAATTTCAATGATTTATTTACTCTGATCAAGTGACTTACACAGAGTCACGAGACGTAAGAAATATTATTTTCCTTCTCATTGGGATAAAACTGTTGACACATTATGATCCTTCGCTGCCGATAGCCGTTGCTTCAGATGCCTCTAACTATGGTGTGGGCGCAGTCATCTCCACATTTTTCCTGATGGGTCTGAAAAACCTATCTCTCACTCTTCCAGATTTCTGAAAACGACCGAAAGGAACTATAGTCAGATTGAGAAAGAAGCCCTATCAATTATCTTTGCAGTGAAAAAGTTCCATAAGATGATATATGGTCGACATTTTACCCTAATAACAGGCCATAAGCCATTACTTGCAGTTTTTGGGTCAAAGAAAGGAATTCCTGTTATACAGCTAACCGACTACAACGATGGGCAACCACACTTCTGGGTTACGACTTCAAGATCAAGTATCAGTCTACTACCACCTTCGGGCAAGCTGACGCATTGTCAAGATTAATAGGCTCCCAATCAAAAACCCGGAGGAGACTCTTTTAGCAAATATAAAAGCAGAGGAGGAAGTTCATCGCGTATTGGATGATGCAATCAATGGACTCCTAGTAACCTTTGAAACTATCAAGAAGATCACTGAAAGTGATAAGATAATGAGCACGGTTGAATGCTATCTCTCGACCACATGGCCAAACAATCGCCTCGACGGAGAACTTTTGCAATGTTTTCATCGACGGGACTCACTGATGGTTGTTGACTCGTGTATTATGTTCGGTGATCGGATTGTTATTCCAACGTTATTACGTCACAAGGTTCTCAAGCAGTTTCACAGTGGCCATCCTGGAATCAATAAAATGAAATTGTTGGCTCGTAGTTATGCTTATTGGCCGTCGATGGACAAAGATATCGATAATAAATGCCGCAACTGTCCATCATGCATTCAAGCCGCCAAAAATCTTTTGAAATGCGAACCTCGGTATTGGCCTACGCCTGCAGGACCCTGGGTAAGACTTCACGCAGATTTTGCTGGTCCAATCCAAGGAAAAATGTTTCTAATTACCGTAGATGTGTAGAATTATGGTCTACTATGATATTAGTGCTGCTCTAATAATATACCTGATCCCCAAATTGTAGATTTGTCATGACATAACTGCCTAATCTATAAGATCTTACGTGGAAGTCACACCATCGACTACACTAACTCACTGTATCGTATCAATTACCAATACATGATGTAGAACAAGGTTAGGCTAGAGAAGGAACAATATATTTAATATGGATATAAGATATAAGGTAACATTCAGAGGCACCAGGCCCGCATGGCCGAGCCATGCCATTCGATCAACTCGTTGTTCCTGCCTTTTCCATCTTTGGGTTATTCTGTGAGTTAAATGTCGAATATTTATTTCCCGAATTGTCTCGTGTTCAGCTTTGAGGATTGTGTGGTTACTGTCCAATGTCACTACAGATGCATTTACTAAATGGCCGGAAGTATATACCATGCCGAATTGTACAACATCAGAAACAATCCACAAGTTGTCTACCCTGTTTAGCTGTTTCGGAGTACCAGAGACCTTAGTAACCGATAAAGGCTCGCAATTTGTCGCAGAAGCGTCTGAGCATTTTCGTAGAGCAAACGAAATAACTCATCTTCCTTCTCCACCCTATCATCCGCAATCAACCAGACAAGCAGAACGCTTTGTGGACACCTTTAAACGAGCATTACTGAAATGGGGGAGGGGGCGAAGGGACGACTGGACAGGTAATCACGAAATTTTTTAACATCTTACAGATCCACCCCGAACCCGAATGTTCCAGACGTCAAGTCTCCTGCTGAAGCTATGTCCGGAAGGCGTATTCGAACTGTCTTCAACACCATGTTGCCATACAAATTAGTGGATGAGCGCAAACACAATCCAAATATCCGGAACTTTAACGTTGGCGACAAAGTTTTCATTAAACCATATATCGTGAAGAACCGATGGGAATCCCAACGTGGCGTGCTTCTATTGGTCAGTAGCATAATATGTCGCTAACGCATTGGCCGAAATATGATGTTGATTTAACAAACGTTAACATCTATAAATACCTATGTTTTCTGTACAAAATCGAACCTTGGAGTAAAGTATTTCTCTCATACTTTGCGTCTTCTCTCTGGTGCTCAGGTTGGTGTGCAGTTCTAACTTGCGAGTTACCAGAATAACTTAGGAAACGAATATAGCGTTCAATCGACAAGACTTATCAATAACAAGGAAATATGTTTACATTAACTCTCTATACAATGTTCAATTTATTTGAACCCTAATATTGATACATATGAAGTTGATCTGTTAGAAGTAACTTTGATTCGTTATACGATGAGAGTTCTCTGACAAATCGGGAAACGTTTGGTCTCGTGAATAAGCTTTCTGGACTTGAAATTTCCAGTTTCTATTCTCAACAGAAATGTCAGTTTTGAATACATTAATGTATTATAACAACAAATACTAAGTTGTAAATTCGTGAAACGTCTCTACGTATTTTACTATCGTTCAGACATTCAATATGATAAGGTCTATAAACATCCAGAACTTGAGTGTTGAATACTGCAGTGTTTATTTCAGAACATTACTAAATCTAAAAATGAATGGGTTGAATTTGAACGTAAAATGTCATCGAACAGGTCAGAGCTATTTTAAGGTTGTATATATCATACCAGCGCCGTATTGTTCGTTATGCATCTCGAAATCGTTATTTAAATGTCACAAAAACCCAAACATAGGAGAAGTTTCATCAAAATTCCCCCAATGTTCCCAAAAATTTCTCCGAAATTGGCAGCTCGTGAATGGCTGACAATTCGTAAAGTAATCAGTTTTTCAGAAAAAATTGTCATAGTAACTCAAAATGCAAATATACTATGCATCCTGTGTTATGGCAAATAAAAAGTAACTCCAAAATAACGGCAAACCTTTTCGTTTCCATTTTGCGAACAATCCCGAGCTCCAAAGGTTGGGATACTTTTGGGAAACTCCCGAGGTCATATGACCTTCACAAATGTTTGGGAAAATCCCCAAAGTCAAATGACCTTGACCAGGTTGAAGGGGAATTTTGGTGTTTTTGTGCCATTTCCCCAAAGTTTACTACGGCGGCTTCCCCAAAATTAGCCCAAATTTGGGAGATTGGGATAATTGGCACCCAGATAGCATCATTTTAAAAGTCAAGTGTGCGACTAGTGAAACAATCAGCTCTATTTCTAACAAGTACCAAAAAAATTGTAAGGCTATCAACAACCTTAGGGTTTCAAGCGATCATGTACTACAAGGGAGCTCATCCGTTCTCTACAAATACGGTGGATGTGATATTCCATCATGACCGTTAGAAAACAACATATATCATACCATGTTAAAAATCTGGTGATCAGACTGACATGAACAACCACCAGCCCACATATATTTCTCCATTATTCTCTATGACTATGAACAATATATTTAATATGAATAAAAGATATAAGAAAATATTCAATAAGGACCACGCCTGTAAGGCCGAGCCATGCCATTCGATCAACTCCAATAATTCAACTACTTGTTCCCACCTTCTCCATTGTTATGTATATCCCCGCGCTAAATACTGAATCTCTATTTTCCGAGTAGTCTCGTGTTCAGTTTTGAGGATTGTGTGGTTATGGTCCAATGCTACTACATATATAGGTTTTGATTTGTGTTTGTTGTTATCGTTCGTTTCTAGCTGTTCGCAGAGTATACATCTCTATTCCAAGATTGAACTTCTCCCTCTAGTTAGTGAGGCTGGGACGCATCAGTAGCTAGCTTGCTGATCTTTGGTCACCGAGTCTCGTTCGCAGACTAAATGAACTCGTGCTAGCTTCAACCCGATCTTGGGTACAACTACAATTTGTCTTTCGCAGAACAGGTTTCAAAATAGACCTCCAAGATCGAACGTCTTATATATATATATATATATATATATATATATATATATATATATATACTATTTGACCATATATGTCTTAGAAATATTGCTCGCATCTGCTGGGATCACCAGGTAAGTAATACCGGGGTCAGATGCAGGGTATTAAGGAATGATGGTTAATCAGTTGATGAGGTTGTGAATCATCATCGACTGAGATGATTGAGCCACTTGTTACGTATGCCTGAACACCGATTACCACGACGTGCAATGCTAACCGGTGTTCGGGATGGTTGGAAGAAAGTTAAGGGTGGCCAAACCAAACTGTGGAATCAGTCCTTAACGTCACTAACTTCTAGTCTGAGGCCATGTTGATAAATGAACACTACTCGATTGGGATCGCGTTGTCAAACGCTGTTTATCCGTAACATTTTGAACTGAATAAGCGCGTTTTCATTTATTTCTGAAGCGTAGAAAATATAGGTTCTTATATAATCTTCAATCTATATGGATCCGACTAGAAATCCAAAAAAACGCCGAACTCTTGATTATGTCGATACTGCGATTAATATAACATGAAATAACAATACGTATTCAACGTTATAATAATTATTGACTTTAAAAAAATCTAGGAATTTACACATACCATTATGAACAGTTATAAACCCAAACGTGTATTTACTAATTAGAGCTTCGTAGGTACATACTTTGTTTTAGCCAACGTTGTCATAGTAAAGAGACCCGAGTATTTGATTTATCCTAAATGTCAACATTGGCTAAACCGTCAATAAAATATCAACCTCCTGACTGGTTCACAAACTCTTTCGCATTAAGTGCTAATTCTCAACGTCAAAGAGAGGCATCAGAGCAAATCAGACAAGAAACACGTTCTTTACGCCTAGCAGCTGCTCTTAAGACTAAATGGGATGAATTTAACAACACTACAAGACTTGCAGACAGAATCGATGCCATAAAAGACTTGAGAGATGTTTTGGAACTGGCTCACTCACAATTGGATGCGGAAATATCGATGGTCAACCTAGGTAAAGAGGCAGTTGAGGAACAAATGAGAAATATAATAACACCCAAAGAATGCGTTACAGAGTGTCTTACACTTAGGGACAGGCGCAAAAAGATAGACAACGTTGAGGACGCACCGGAGATTCAGTTGAAGAAAGTTAGGTTGATGATTTGTGCTCATATTATTCATAGGAAAAAGAGGTGATTGATAAATCCAATAAAAGACTTCAGCAAAAAGTGGATGAGGCATTTGAACAAATAGTTATTCTAAAAGAGGCTAGGCAACAAATACTACTTGACCTACAGGATAAGCATGCTGCTATGGACATTGACATCCAACAGTACAAACTGACACATACCTGTCCGGGAGTTTCTTTCAAGCTCAATTCAACACGAATTCCAAAAGGGTAACTGTAGTCATATACTTCCTCTAATAAACGTTTAAAGGAAATCTGTTTATTTCAGTGTGACTTATCGGTTGTTCAAACATTAAGTACGACCATTGATATGATAAATTGAGGTAGTAGGACTGAGTGTTGTACACAAACAAGTAGCTCCTAGCTCAGTTCAAAATGTACTCTGGTAGTAAAAAGTCGTCCAGCACAAATAGACGGTAAGGTGACGGAGAAAGGCGGATGCATTATTTTGCACTTAAAGCGAAGTGGGTTGCACATTAGAAAACAGTCGCTAATTTACACAAACATCGAATATAGACTTGTAGTGTCGGTTATTATGTTAAGCCCAGATATTTTATTCTAGCTATCGGACAGCTCATTCTATTCATTCTACTTGAGTCACATTCTGACCTTGTTATTTATTCGTTTATCAATCTTGACTGTTTTTATATGAGCGCGTAGGTGTGTGCACATTTCTTATCCCATTAATCATCACATGTCTGTAACTTACTTTTGTGTAACTATAAATATTGATTAACATTTGGTTAAATGGGGGATGGCTTACCTGCCATCTCCACTTTGCGTTCTTTCTCTTCTCTCTATTCCATTCATTTTATATACAAAATATATGTATTCATAAATCCATTCTCGTTATTCAACGTATTTAATTCCGTTATTGACTAGCGTGATTTAAGTCTATGATTATATAAGAGGATAGGTGATCACAAACATTCATATGATCTTGAAGATGACACAGGTATTCAGTGTTTGACAACGCTTCTACCAGTAACACCTTCTGATATGATTTGTACCCACCGAGAGAAATCTAAAGACAGAGTCGAGGAGATCGGAAGAGTGTATTTGGCGATAACCAAAATATCGGAATTCTCTGATCTAATCTGGCCAGCGATTGCGGTTGATGTTGAGCACGGCGTTGCCACACGTGATCTGGTGCGGATGCCTGACCGAGCGCCTTCAGCTAGATGAGTCCACTAAAACATATGGTCAGCATCCAATGTCGAAAACTTACAGGGCTATTTATTTTGGGGACTTATTTACCGCTACAATCTAATTGGAGTCAAATCCCGGGCCACTAAAGTGGAGAGCCCTTTGACGAACATCGTTCGGTCTAAATCACGATTAAAAAACCGGCCTTCATAGACTCTTTATTTTCAAATCAGCATGGAACATACGGATTAAAGTACGTAATCAGGAGGTTATATATTCATGAACAAATTCGTAGTCGGAGTAAATAGCTATAAATGAGTTATTCATCAATGATGCATCCAAGCAGAAACTCATCTTTTATAAAGTTCATGTTGTAAAAAATAATTGTACCCGAATGGAGTGAAAGTACTTAGGATTTTCTGGGAATAGTTTAATAAGTTTTTTATATGTATTTTTAATATGTAACGGTGACATGCTTTGTATATACAAACTGTATTGTGTGATAACCAGTCTAACCGGGACAACGTGAAGCAATTTCTGTGATGTGAGTACATGATTTATGATTTTTTACTCAGCTGTGTTATGTTTATCTTAAAAGTGCTCTTAACCTCATTTCAAATGCTGCACCTATTTTGTACGCCTTCTTCACGAAAAGCGTCTGAACAAAGAAACTGTTTTTCAGTATGCATAAAGGGATATGGGTGTGTGAAACATAACCTTGACAAACACCAAGAAGAACAGTTATTGTAAACATAAAACAGATATAGCCAAATCTTGTGCCTTGCAATCTTTGTTTTTTATAAGCAGTTCTGAAAATTCCGAAGTCCATTACTACAATATTTAGTTGAAATTACCACAATTAACCAAAACAAGTGTTCGCATAAAACTGTAAATCTACTATAGACTATTCATTTCCAAACATTTATTTTTATTATGACTAATGTTCTCACGGGTTTGTTTTAAAATTGTTAGGAAAAGTATAAGTGAGCCCTGCAAACCATAATGTTACCTATAGAAAACGAATTTTTTTCCTGTAGAAACTTACGAAAAATGGTACATCATTCTACTTATTTGTCATCAGATGAGTTGTGAAAGAGTGAATTTAGATTTGTTTTCGAACAATTATCAAGACTTGGATGTATGACGCTTATGATTTAGTGGTCATGGTTTGAACGGTTTTACCCTTAATTTCCTCTTATTTTTTGACAAAACCTTTTAACTAAAATATATAAAGGCAATTCTGGCACGATAATGATTCATAAAACCATTCATTACTTTTCTTACTTTTATGGAAACAAGTACGTCTTCAACCTGAAACGTGCTCTGCATTAGGAAACCTCGGTTTAACCAGTAATTGTATGCAAAATTAATCTATTTTTTGTCCGAATTTGTGTGCCAATCACACATATTGTGATATCCTTGCTTGATGTTGTCTTAATATTTCAATGCATATTTTATTACACAAATGACTTATTATGGTCATTTGTAAGCAAAAACATCAATCAGTCATAATCAACTTAGGGACTGGCACTAATATGCATTGGTTCAGAACACCATGCCATATTGGAACCCATGCTATATTAGCACAAACATGAAGAAAGAAACTTAGCAAGTGCTTAAACGAATTGGTAGCGTATTCAACTAAACGTAATTTGATAACTAGTTTTCTCTCGTTAAAAAGTGACTAGGTGCTTTCCTTAAAATTTATAATTTAACGTTTCATGTCTTTACTTCTTACCTCTTAATTGCCGTACTCGTGCCACTTTTCTAGTTGGTTAGTATACAAAGTAAGGAGCTTAGAAAAATTCTTATTGTTAAAGTTCTGTGTTCTAATATTAGTTATTTAAATTTAAATCTTTTATTAGATGAAACTTGTTTAGTATAAGCATCGAATGATACTTAAGAGTTATATTACTGCATAACATTCTGTTTGTTAATATATATTCCACATAAAGGACAACTACCCCACAACAATGGGAAGAATTCACAAGGTACAACTGGCGGAGAGCTCAGGCGGAAATTCGCTCAGGACAAAGATTACGTGGAGCGATCTATCTAACACTATGCCAAGTTTCGAATGACTTAGAGGCTCAAGCTCAAGCAACAGAATTTGCATTGAGACAAAGAAAACATGATTTTGAACAAGCGCTCGACGAATTAAAATGGCAAAAGAAACAGGTAAAAGCTGATATTTTTTCATTAGATCACCGAAACAATGTTCGAGAACCACTATGTTTTAAACAGCAGCTTGATTGCATTTTAAAACAGTATCATTAGCCTTTGTATTTTAAGGTGACCCATATAGAATTCAGTAAATGAAACCATAGTTTCTTGCTAAACTGTTGTGATTCATTTAACTCCAAATATAGAATAGATCCTTTCTTATATTAACAGAAATTTAACTTTTATAAACGTTCTATTGAATGTTTAAATTATTATAAAATAATGATTGAGCGATAAAAAACTATCACTTTCTATGAAACTTGGTAAATGCAGGTTTCCTAGCACTCAGAACACATCTACCTAGAGGCTTTATATTGTTAACTTTCTGTCAAATGCTTCCGAAGTCACGTTTCATTAATAAGTATACTGAATCAGTTGTCATTCATCCAGGATGTTTTATACTATCCAGAATATCAGTATGTTAAGATAAACATATGAATGACAAGATGGAAATATAACATGAGTTCATGAAGTGATTGACTGCTAAAGCAAGTCAGTTCATCAGTAAAAAGCTTGATAGTTGAAGTTTGAGTGATGATAATAGACTTCCTCTGGTCCGTAATCACTGCAACGCCGACGTATATATTACTTATCCTGTAAATTTAGAGTTTTTATTTTACTTCACTTGTCATACTTCGATTTATTGATTCAAAAAGCCGCAAAGCTTTGAATTCACCTGGCATTATTTAAAAATACACAAGCTTTTTAAGCCCTGTACCTCCAGTATTTGCAACTCGTTATTTGATGAACTGACGGCTTTTCATGAAATAATGGGAGACTCTTCTGGCAACTTGTTTTTTGCTGTATTCTAACCATTTCAAGCAAAACGGATAAAGAATGGTTTTCGTACGCTTTTCATATGTTGAACCCAAAATACTTTCTCGTTCACTCTTATGTTCTCACCCAAGTATGTCGATGGGTGGGGGTTAGCGTGTAGCACGTAGTGCATTAATATCAGATCCCGGAAATCGCCCATCATAAGAGTTTTTTACTTGTTAGACATAAGATAATGCTTCTCTGGCTAGTCATCTCAGTCCCTAATTTCCATTTCCTTATGTTGTATTTTTGAAACCTAACATTTTCGACTACCTGTAATACTGTTACGGCCTCCACTACACGGGATTTTCTCTGACAACTCCATCTTGCTGTTTTGATTAAGTTAGTCAGTAAGTAACAACGTAGAACTTCGTAAGTACGTACATCAGTTCTAGTTGCCATACAACATTAGCGCAGAGATGTAGTTGTCGATTCAAATTCCATAGTGGGCAGATGTAGTAAGAGCATAAGCAGTAATCGGAAAGACTAGGGTTTGCAGATATTATTCAAGGAGTACAATCCAATGAATTAAATCTGGAAAGAGAAAAAAAGAGACAATGGGAATTCAGAAGATTAGAATTTGGGAGAACATAAAGAGTGGATGCACCTGCGCCATTGCAAACGATTTTGAGCCACGTCATTCAAGATTCTTGTTCAACTTTGTGGTCGACATACTTTTAGAGATAACACTTTCCCCATCTAAATTTCCAGGGGTTGAACTTCTACAGGGAGGTTCACTTGTTGACTTAGAATATGCTGATGACATAGTTTTATTTGGTGAAGACACTGACAAAATGCAGAGTCTTCTGACCACTCTAAGCAACAATGCAGGCATGTTCGGCATGCGATTCTCCCCCTCGAAATGCAAAATGTTGCTTCAGGATTGGGTTGCATTGACACCCGAACTAATGATAGGGAGTGAAGTAATTGAGCGTGTCGATCGCTTCACTTATCTTGGAAGTCTCATCAGCCCTTGTGGTCTGGTGTGTGACGAAAACTCAGCACGGATACAGAAGGCTCGACTAGCTTTTACCAACTTGCGTCATTTATGGCGTAGGCGAGATATCCATCTATCAATCAAAGGACGTGTTTACTGTGCAGCAGTTCTTTCCGTCCTACTTTATGGCAGTGAAACATGGCCGGTAAGAGTAGAGGATATTCGTAGGTTGGGATCCACGAGATGACAGCAACCGGTGGTTGGAGACCTTGAATGTCAGTCAGTCAGTCAGTAACAACGTAGAACTTTGTACGTACGTACATCAGTTCGAGTGGCCACACCACATTAGCATAGAGATTCAGTGGTCGATTCAAATCCCGTAGTAGTAGAGGTAATAAGAGTATAAGCAGTAATCGGAAGATTAGTGTTTGGAGATGTTATTTAAAGAGTATAATACAGTGAAATAAATTTGAGAGGAGGAAAAAAAGAGACAAGGAGGAATAAGGAGATCAAAATTTGGGAGAACACAAAGAGTGTATGCACCTGCGCCATTGCAAACGATTTTGAGCCATGTCATTCAGGGTCTCTAACCATCGGTTGCTATCATCTCGCGGTCCCCAACCAGGTAGTCGACACCTACCGACATGACTCAGACCATCTGTCAGTGATCTCATGGACTTGTGCCATGTTTTGGTTTGGCCGCCCCTAGCTTTCTTCCAACCTACTCCTACACCACAAAACATCGCACGTCGAGGCAGTCGGTCGTTGGGCATACGTAACACGTGTCCCAGCCATCTCAACTGATGAAGTTTCACTACTTCATCAATGGATTTGCCATCCTTACCTAGTACCCGTTTCCTAACAACTGCATTACTTACTCGATGGTCCCACGATATGCGAGCAATATTTCGAAGACACCTATGATCAAATACTAGTAACCTACGAATAACCTCTACTCTTACCGGCCATGTTTCACTGCCATAAAGTAGGACGGAAAGAACTGCTGCACAGTAAACACGTCCTTTGATTGATAGACGGATATCTCGCCTACGCCATAAATGACGCAAGTTGGTAAAAGCTAGTCGAGCCTTCTGTATCCGTGCTGAGTTTTCGTCACACACCAGACCACAAGGACTGATGAGACTTCCAAGATAAGTGAAGCGATCGACACGCTCAATTACTTCACTCCCTGTCATTAGTTCGGGTGTCAATGCAACCTTATCCTGAAGCAACATGTTGCATTTCGAGGGGGAGAATCGCATGCCGAACATGCTTGCGATGTTGCTCACAGAAGGGGTCTGAATGCGTGTCTACTTTCTAGGACCTGATGCAATGTTAATATCTGGTCTATACAGCCACATCCAGGTTGAAAATCAGCCTAGTTTTCTTTAGTCTGCCCTTCAAGAGCTTTAGTTAGGCGTCGAAGTATTATTGAAGCTAATATGTTAGACACTATATTAGTCAAACTGATTCCTCTGTGATTGTCACAAGAGGACGTTTGGCCCTTTTTATAGACTGGCACAATCAGTGATTGAGACCAGTCAGATGGAATTGCATCCAGTTCCCAAATTCTACCTAAGACCACAGTTAATCTCACTGCTAATACTGGACCACCATCCTTAAAAATCTCAGGAGTAAACCTGTCAGGGCCTGTTGATCTCCTACGCTTCAGATTTCCCATAGCTTTTTCACCTTCGTAAGGAGTCGGAAGATTTCCGAGTCCTTACTGTTCCGTTCAGTCGGACAGCGCACAAACGACTGTCTACTGGGATCCAGTCTAAGAGAGCTAGTTCTGCCCTAGGACTCAATGCTATACCTACGCCGGCGAGGCCACGAGAAGCAGAGTCTGAGCTTCCAGATACACGAAGTGTGAACCGAGTTGGTTCTTTGTTTTGACATGGTGATGTCAAATGAATGACGCTATTCGGATCCTGTATGCGCGTTTCGGAGACGCAGCACACATCGATGGCGCGAGATTCTAAAGTCCTAGCTAAAGAAGCCTGTTGTCCTATTTGGCAAAGTGTTCGTACGTTAAAAGCTCCTACGTGTAGTTTACAGCGTGGTTTCAGGAGACCAGGAATAACGTTCCGCGTACTCGAATCGTTTGCCCTAGCGGTGCGTGGTGATAAAAGGATGTGAGAAGGGTTAGCCGGGAGATAAGAGTGGTTTTAGGAGGTGTAGGAAGGATTTGAATGAGACCAACTTGGTCTCGTGTGCTGTTACGGGTATGAGGGCTGATGTCACTTCCCGGCTGCCCACACAATGGAAGTGTATTTCTTGAGGAACCTGAAAAAGGAATTTGGATTAATGTTGGGCTTAATAACCTGGGAGCGTGACTGCAGAGCCAAGGGACAACTGCTTGAGGCCGGTCGCTCATGGCCTTTTTGTGGGAGGTCCTTAACGTGTTAGATTCGTTCTTCAAAAGGCCTTACCGCCGGAGACGGAAATCCGTGAGGTAAGGTGAGGTATGACATTTTTAGAGTCGACCTTTTCTAACCCTTTCCTTCCTCGTGAGAAGGCAGCGTCGCTGCGGAAGCTGGTTGCCCGAGGGAAACACCTTGCTGCTGTCACACCCCTCTACAGTCAGCATTATGACAGTACGACTTTGCCCTCAGACCTTGAGTTGCTGCTTTTAGTCTTATCGTTCTCCAATCGACCTGTCTGGCACGGTAGAACTTACAGGGACATATGTTCCAGCCAGTAAAGCTCGGTTCGGTTATCACGATAGAAAAACCCGACCACTACGTCAAGGTAACAGCTGCGGTCAGCAGAACGGTAAATGGAATCAGTGTACAAATGTGCCAGGATCGACATTGAATCTGACTGATTGACTGAGTAACCACATGGCTGGTAGGTTAATTGTTCCTAGTGCTGTGAATATACGTTAAACATAAATTTAGCATTCTTTTAGTCATAATTCTATTTATATCATTGAAAGATTGAAGAAGAAATGGCTGAAATGGAAAACGATTTAGATCAACTTGAGAAAGCTATTCAAGGCCTAATACCAATGGGAAAACTTGCACAAACAAGACTTGAAAGACGAACATATCGTCCAGGTGTTGAATTATGTCGTGATTCTGTTCAATATGGTTTAACTGATGAAGTGAGACAAATTGAATTGACAAATGAAGCCTTATTAGAGAAACAACGTCAAGCAAGGTAATAAAAAGAGTATTAAATATTCATTTATACTATATAAACTTCTCTCAATGTTTCTATGATTCATTAGTTTTTAGCTCGTTTCTAGATTTTAATAATTTGACTTTGTAGAATGATTTATGTAGATAGACTGAATTCTTCTTTATTGATAAGGGTTATATTCAACAGAGAATGTTAGCTAAATTTAACCCATCAATTTGTAACTAACTATATCGTTACTATGTTTCTAGTTTCATTTCATATTTGCTGTGTTTAGTAGCCTTTTATTGAAATGTAGCACTAATTGACTACAATAAGTAGGTTTGAAATTAAACCATCAAAATCAGAGCATGACAAACTACTCGGAGGACCTACTTTAATCATAAATTTTCCAAATCGATGAAGCTATTTGATATCACATGAGTATCCTTAATTATTAACATGCCGTTTGAATTTGTGCCAGACCATGGCATACGATTCACTGATGCGCAATAGTTGTTCCTGATCTTGACGAGGACCGATGATTCGCTCGATATTCAATGACTCAACTGCCGGATGATTGTCTAGGGCATAGTGACATTTCGCTGGCCCTACACACCCATTAAGATGTAGTGCGAGTCAATCAAGAATATTTGATAACTATATTTGATTGCATAATACCTATTTTACCATTGTAACTGAATTCTTATAGTTTCTATATACAAAATATTGAGAGAGCAAAGTTCTTAAGAATAGTAACAAATATAATAGTTGCTTAATAAGTCATTAACTTTCGTGACTATATTATTTTTACTGAATACGGTAGTGCTTGAAATGATAAGTACTGGCTTCGAGTTCCATAGTGAACATCAACAATGATATGTAGTGTTGTTTACTTGTATCTTTCCATTGTTATTTAGGACTGCATATGTGCATATTGGCATATGTGTATACTGTGCGAATTACCTTGAAATTGCCTTCATTCACAAGTATTTTAAGCAAAAATGAATAGTGGCTACAAGTGGAATCCAGGATGCGCAGTTCATCCTATTTAGAACTTGTCAGCTGGATGTACCTGCATCATAAAGTTAATGTTCACTCTGTAACTCAAACCCAGTGCCGTTCGCTCATAATGCATGTGAATCAAAGCAATACGATGGCAGTACACACAGTGTGCACATATGCCAACAAGACTGATCAATTGCAGTCCTTAATAATAATGGTAAGATGCAAGTAAACAACACCAAGTGAATTTAAAACTCTACCCTATTGCACAAGTAGGTGGCTATCAGGACTCAGTAGATAAGTGGATAACTCCATGGCGTTTGAAGCGATTAGTACTGAGTCGGAGTCCTAGAGTGAACATCAACTCTGAAATGGAGGTGTATTCGGCTGACGAGTCTCAATCAGGACAAAATGCGAACTATAATCAGTCGTTTTTGTTTAGTAGACATATGTTTTAAATTATTTTTTGTCATTGTTATTTCAGACATGCGCTAAATGCTTTACATAAACAATTAAATCGTATTAATGATGATATTACATTAAAGAAGAAAGTCTTCAAATAGAGAATGATTGTTTAAATTTACGTCATCAACGTATGGATCGTAAACAACCTGAAAAAGATTTTAATCCAAATGAAATAGAATCACATAAATCTGAAGTAAAACTTGTTAATAAACCACCAACATTTATTGAACGTCATGTAGCTGAGAAACTTCTTGCATAAGAGTGAACTGTTTAAAAGTTGTTGTTTCTTTCTAAAGGAAATGTGAAGATGATGATGATAATTACATTTTGATTATTAAACCTTCTTCAGTTTCATGTTTAGAATATACTTAATTCTTTTGTTATTTACTTAACAATTTACAATTAGAGAGGGGTTTTGTGGATATTATAATAATTGAATAGTTGAATTCATAAGTCATGGAAGACCTGGACGGACGTTCAGTGCTCTCAGGTTTGCTATGGTGGTCTAGCTTCAACTGACGCATGAATTCATCTATTAACTGTGAAGCTGGGTGACACGGGATCGAATCCGTCAAAGAGCATCAGTTCCCTAAAGATTACAGGTACACCTTGCTAACGAGTGCCAAGTAACACGAGACCCGTGTCCAGGGTTTCCTATCGACTACCTCTAACTACCATCTTATCTCTTGTCGAGTCACCTAGACTAGTGGCCACATTGCAAGTTGGTCGATAGGATTCGATCTGCACTAAGAAGGACTTGACACACATGATATTGATTACCACACAGTGATCAACCAATTGTGATTACAATTTACATTTGTCTTATACTACTCGTTGGATGTATCTATGCTTGAACAAATGACTTTAAAGTTGCTTGAAGACTTTCTTCACGAGATGCATTAGCTAAGTATTTGTGAAAAAGGTGTATATAATTTTATCAGATTATTCGAACTAAACAGTAATCATTGATACATAATAATAATGTGTTGATGGGTTTGTTTTAAAATTATCAGGTTTCTGTTTCCCAAGTTTAGGTTGCAACATTATTGAAATATTTCGTTTGGACCCTGCCTATACTACTTATCTATGGTTCAGTTTCAAAAACTGAATATCAAAATGCGTCTATTAGTCATAGGATTTGGTATTTATTAGCTAACCCGTTCTTTTGAATATATTTGAGGTAGGACTAGTTGCTACGGATTGAAGGACAGTATCTTACTCGTTGATGACACTCTTAGGAGAGGTTATGAGTTAACCGGGTTGATAAGCATATTTCGTGCTCTCGTAAAATCAAGTTCCTAGAAATCAATCAAGATAAAAGTATGTCATATCCATAAAAAATTCCTAAATAATTGGAAGTCTGGAACCAAAACACCTTAGGTTTTTTCATATGTGGTCAACTAATTTACTTCAGTTGATCTTATGTCGTAACATCGTAAAGTCAGTCAGTCAGCTACGACGTAGGACCAAGCACATATATGCATCGGTCCAAGTTGCCACACCTCATTAACACAACAAGATGAACACCAAATTCATAGGAATTAATTCAGTGGTGGTAATATATAAAAGAAAGATTGCAATAAGGATATAGTACAGGAAGGAAGAATCAGTTGTTAGAAAGAAAGATATGAAGCGATTTTAATCTTTTAGTTTAAGGGAAGACAGAGAGTGTATACACCTATGCCATTGTGATCGATTCTGAGCCATGTCACCAAGAGTCTCCAACCATTGGTTACGATAGTCACGCGGACCCCAACCAAGTAGTCTGCATCTACCAACATGGCTCAGACTAGAAGTTAATGACTTCAAGCACTGATGCCACGTAACATCGTAAAACCTGAAATCAGTTCATTTATTGTATTTCTTCGAACTTTTCGAACTAAATCACAATATCTAATATAAGAAGATCTAGCTGTTTATATGCAGCATTCTATTTTTGGAACAATTATGAACAATGTTTAGTGTTAGAAATGTCTTGACGTCTAGACAACTAAATACGTTCTAAAAATCTTTATGTTGAGTAGATCAGCTTTAAAGGATATGATCGAATTCTAGATTCTGATATTTAAAAAAGAAATCTCAATTCATGTTTTGAGGGTGTTCTACTCTTTGATTATTGTTGTTCTGTTTTCGTCATCGTTTCCGGTCGCAGTATATTATTGAATTTCAATTATTTAATCACCATGGAAAACCTGGATGCACTGGACTCATAATCCCAACTATTGGACTTACTACAATTTTCACAAAACCCCTTCTGATACTGATCAACATATGCTCACTAGTGACTGGCTTCAAGAGGTATATCCTGAAGTTCTAGTGAGAAGCAGTGACCAGTGGAGTGAGGTAGTAACTCACTGCTGACAATCGTGGATGTGTCGCTCAATTTCGTGGATTAGTTGAAGTTAGACATTAACACCACTGAACGCCGGTCGGCTCAGTGGTCTAGTTGGTTAAGCGCCTGGCGCGAGAGTGAATCCAAATTCTGCGAGGCGGAATAGAGGGTGAAAACTGCTAAGGAGTCCTACAGTAGGACGGAACGGCCGTCTAGTGTTTCCAAGTATTCCATAGTGGTCTAGCTTCAACTGACTCATGATCTCAACTGTTAAAATAGTAACAGTTATTCTGTTTGTTTTGACTTACATGAGTCCCATTACTTCTTTATAGTAAGTAGTGCATTAGTTAAATTCAACATAATAATGTATACTAATTGAATGTAAAATTTTATCAGCAATGCTGTGGTAATAATAATAATCCATACTTCATGTAATCAAAATGGATTTCACTTTTGAATTATGCCATTCATTTGGGGTTTATTATCATGAACTCATTGGACATATATGATATAAAGTTATTTGTAAAGTGAATGATACATAAACGAATAGGATATAAACTTAGCCAGATTGTCATAAATAAAAATAATATATTTGTAATATCCCAATGAGTAGAAAATCAGATTTTCTGACGTTTCGTGACTTAGTGTAAGTCACTTCTTCAAAGAATAAATAACCAAATATATTATTTATTTATAACAATCTATCCAATGCTCAATTTATTCGAAATTATCAAATCATACCTTCGGCATTGATACATACAAACTCATTAATTAGCCAGATTGGTTGAATTCAAAGGAGAATAAACATTATCTCGGAAATTCAGAAGGAAAAGCTTTGTGTCAATAGTACTTCCTTACGCCTGTTACTCCTCGTGAAGGAGCATAGGCCGCTCACCAGCATTCTCCATCCAATCCTGTCCTGGGCAATCCTTTCCATCTCCTTCCAGTAATTATTTATCCCTTTCATATCTGCTTCTATTTTCCAACGTACTGTGCTCTTTGGCCTTCCTCTTTTCCACTTCCCTTCAGGATTCCAAGTTAGGGCTTGCCTTGTGATGCAGTTTAATGATTTGCGTAATGTATGTCCTATCCATTTCCATCGTCTTTTCCTAATTTCTTCCTCAGCTGGAAGTTGCTTTGTTCTCTCCCACAGAAGGCTGTTGCTGATGGTATCCGGCCAATGGATGTTTAGTATCTTGCGTAGACAACCATTTATAAATACTTGTACCTTCTTGATGGTGGTTGTTGTAGTTCTCCAAGTTTCAGCTCCGTTCAGTAGAACTGCCTTGACGTTGATATTGAGGATTGTGACTTTGATATTGGTTGACAGTTTTTTTGAGTTCCAATTAAAGGTTGATTTTTTGGTTTATTGAATCCAATATACAGAATACGTGTTCAAATACACTGAAATGACTGTTAAAGTGTTTAGGGATAAAAAAGGTTATAAATTTTAACATTACTGTAGTACTGAACTCTCAAAGCTAGTTGCTTTAATGAAAGTGTTGTCAATGTCATTTAGAACAATATAAATTTACGACTTCTACTTCAGTTAAGTATCACACCCACTGGTGATTAACTTAGTGATATGTTTCCCGGCTTTTAGTGAAGGGTGAAATTCAGTATTCTTCGAAATGAGACAGATATCACTGATAACATTGGATGATGACACGGGATCGAATCCGTCATGGAGCAACAGTTCCCTCAAGATTACAGGTACACCTTGCTGACGAGTGCCAAATAGCACGAATCCCGGGTACAGGGTTTCCTGTTGACTACCTCTAACCACTAGGTTATCACATCATATAACTAACTGCGTGAATTTTAAAACGTAGCCCCTTAATTTCCGACTCAATTGCATAAAGGTGACAAAACAATTTCACTCCTAGGTGTCTTCCTGAGTGAGCACTACAAGATCATCCTAGATGTCGTACTTACTTACGCCTGTTACTCCTCGTGCAGGAGCATTATTTTTTTCTGGTTAGCGTTTTTTTAGCGAGTTGGTTTTTTACAGGATGGGGTCGCTAACCCTATACCCAACCCTCCTACTTTACCCGGGCTTGGGACCGGCAGTAACTCTGGAAAAGCTACAGGTGGAGTTCAAAGTAAGCCATAGACAGTATGTTTGAATAAACATATGTAAGGATTAAATGTTTTAGATATGTTAAAACATGACTGAATTTCTAAAAGGGAAATATGTTTACATTGTAATATGCGTAAATCTATTATGTAAATAGAATCTATTAAAAGTACATTAAATTATTACGTAATTCACATTCGTTACCTCTCATAGTTTAGAGAGACTTTACTTAAATTGTAATCCTCTTTTAAATTATGCGATATTGTTAACAATAACAAGTGACTTTAAAAGTTTAGCACTAGATTCACTTGGTATTATTTCATTGAATCTTCCCATTGATGTTTGAAGCGAGCGGTACTGGATTCGAGTCCCGGAGTAAACATCAACTGTGAGATGCAGGTACATCCAGCTGACGAGTTCCAAATAGGACGAAACGAGCGTCCTGGATTCTACTGATAGTCACTATCCATCTTTGCTTATAATTGTTTAGCACTAGGTTTAAAATTAGTATTAACGTTCAGTCACTTTATGATTAAATTCCTGGACATTACATAATGCTTACAAAGTTTGAAATTAGATTAAGATATGAATCCTATGATTAGCGAAATACTTACTCGTTCAAGTACAGAATATATTTGAGAATATAAGACTTATTCAACACTATTTTCTTCTTAGTATCTTTCACTTGA